CCCAGTGCAGCGCACATGGGTTTAGTTTGTCTCAACAGGCCCAGACAACACCACAGCTCTGTTGTTTAAAATAGGCATGAAGGGGAATTCCCAAGTTATACCTTTGTCGTATAGGTAATCTTACAATATTTTCATGTTCTTAGTTAAATAGAAGATATAAAGTGATGAATTAATACACTAGAGACACGGTTTTATTTGAACACTTTATTATGACATCGTAAAATGATGAATAAAAACACTAAACACATGGTTTTATTCGCAGGCCTAGAGGCTTGGTCTAGCCTAGCTAGGTAACATCGTTCGTTCATACATATGTATATTGAGCGTTACGTACGTATTAGGTCAAAGGTTACCACAAATTTAACCCAACCTCTATTTTACGAATCCCCTGATTTACGTACGCCCTCCGGTCCCGTACCGTACGTAAAATCGAGGTTCTATTGTATATCTATTCTTTACATTCAGGAGTATAGTGGGTACCTGGTGGGGTTGCCTGTTCCTGAACTAATTACTGCAGCAGTTTACCAATGATCCCGGAGAAAAGTACTTGTTGTTTGAAAAGAAAAGGCCATGTGAATAAACAAATAAATAGATAAAAATAAATAGTAATTCAAATTTATTCATTATTTTGTAATATTTATATTTGCATTTTGTTTTCCATAGGATTCTGAAGTATCTTCTGTAACATCTTCGTCCTCAAAAGATTTACTTGACTCCCAACCAGGTCCAGCAAAACAGGAAAAGGATAACTCACTAGCAAAGAGCATAGCGCCCCCTGTATCTGCCTCTGCAGCCCTCAGAATTGGTGCTCCTAATGCTCCCACGTTTGCTCAAGTAACTATGTCACAACCAACTAAACCATCTCCAACATATAAAGTAGTGGAAAACAAGAACACCGGTAGAGATCGAAAGGGCTACAGAAGTACCTCTCCACCTGAAAATCCATCCAGCGATGCACCACATTGGGGTGGTAACACACCAGTTTACACTCAAGTCACAACCCGAGTATACAAGAACCGAAATCACCAGCAAAATACAAAGTACCGTTCTTCAAACACCACCACCAGCGGTGGTGGTACTAATAACTCCTTAAGCCAGCACGGAAGTATGAAGAGGGCCAAGCGAAAATCAAAGAAAGAAAACAGTTCGGGTGGAGCCAACAGGTGATCAACGCTCCACTTTGTTTTAAAGTGAACATTAAGCGGGAAGTGATGCTGCAACTTCATGAACAGACTGCTGTTCCTATAGCTGAAATCATTTTTCCCAAGATAAGATCAAGATAAGGTCAAACCTGCCACAAACAAAGACAATCACCAGTTGTACATACATTCTATTTTTATAATGGTGTGCAATATATGCAGGCAATTGCTATGCAACACAAGCCAGCAAGAAATGACGAGATAAAGAAGCCCTGTTAGGGGCATTGCTTGGCATCTCCACATCTCAAAGATAACAAAAGCACTATTTTGTCCATAGATTTGTCCCTTTCTACTTGCCATAACAACTTTTTTTTTGTCTTAAATTGTTCCTTTGTTATTTGCAGGTACAACATTACAAGTAAATAAGTTGTAAATGAATGTAATTATGATTTGAGTCAAACCTCCAATATTTCAGCAATTTATTATCATATTAATACCTTGAGAAAAGAAATAGATTTAGAAAGAAAGATAGTATACCAACTTGACTTGAAACTCAGTTGTTATACCAACAAAGCATTATTCCTGCATTAAAAACCTGATGGGGACTGCATTTTCTCAAAAGAATTCTTTATTTGGAGCTCATTTCACATGAGGATGTTAAGAGTGAAAGTATTTCCCCCAGTAGAAGAAACATGCAATTTGTCCGATGATCATGTTGAATTTCTAAATTTTTGTTTTCGTTACTGGAAGCCAAGGCAGGAATTGTTCCAAAAATGACACTCAAATCTGCTGTGCAGTCTGTTAAAGAATAATGTCATCTCATTCCTCACTCCTGTTTGCCAGTTGTCTTCCAAAAGTAGTTTTAACAAGAGAGAGTAATCAGACAATATGTCCGACTTGGGTTCTGCATGTACTGTCAAATAATGCAAATCGTTTATATTTTTTTTGTATTATGCCTCTTCCCACCTAATTTCTGTACACCTGTATTATAATTATTTTGTGTTGTTTTTATTCACAAAGTGTATCTTTCATAAAGAATGCAGCTTTTATTAAAATTAAAATTCATCTATTTTTGAAGGAAGTTGGGATATTTTTGCAGAGAAGTTTATATTTAAAAGGAGGGGGTTGATGTATTGTTTATTTATGAGAGTGCTGTGGGTGGTTAATGATGATGACGTTAGTGGCGAGTTGGTTCCAAAATGAGGCCAGGGTTGAATTTTAATGAATGAATAGAAATCAGTTTATATTTTACTGGCTGGAGAATTTCTCTTACAGCAGATACATTTTGTTTGAATTGTCTTGGCATACAAATTATTTTTTGTTAGTGTTGTATTTTTCACTGCTTCTTTGTTTCTAAAGTGAAATGTTTTATGTCCATGACAGTTGCTTCAGTTTTATTCTGGTTACAACCAACTTTTAAGTTTTGTCAAAAAAATACTGATTATATTTCTTTTTTCATGTGTTTTTAATCGTAACCATTATTATCTATTGAATATTATTTTTTTATTGGAATTTATTGATACGATTGGTAAGCACAGCAATAATGTAGTACTGTACTTCTAAAGAAAATAATATTGTGTAATAATACATCGCTAACAGTGTATCGTTTTAAAAGTTCTTTTTCTTATGTTTTATTTAGGAAACTTGTGGTTAAGATATCCATTTTTGTTGCAATAATACTTTTCTTTTTATTGTGTGTTTCAGATAATATTAGTATCTGGACATATAAGTGATTTGAATGTTAAATCCCCACTCCCCATGGGCGTCGGCTGTGGGGAGCAGACACACCCTCTATGGCAGCAAATTAGTTCCACTAATTGGGTTAAAATTCTAAAAATGACCATTAAGTTTTTACTGGAATGGAATAGGGATTTACTTCCGCATTCTAGGATTTACTTCAGCATTCTCGTTTTTCTCAAGCCGAAACCAGCCTATGCACCTGTCCCCTATGATACTAAGTGAACTCTTAATTTGTATATCACTGTCATTATACTTTTTCACCCATCACTAGTTAAACTATAAAAAAGTAAATATTTTACCCATTGATTTCTAGTTATTGTACAAGGCAAGTTTTGGTTTTTGTTTGGGGTTCAATTCTCTTTGGTTGGAATTTTAAATATTTTATTATTGGTGTTTCTTGTAAATTGTATAGTGTATCTTTATAAATAATATCGCCCTAAAAATGAAATAAAGTGGTACTTTACCTTACTTAAGTGTACCCTTATGCTTGTATGACAATTAGTATATGACTACAGCAATTCAGTTGGTGTTATGTACACAGTTTAGAGTGTACTAATGTAAACTTGAAGCTTTGACCTAGCATTGTACATTGTGAAATGTTAACATGTATAACCAGTAATATTTTTTCATAATAGAGAGCTTTCGATCGCACGACGATGTTAAGACGTAGAGAGTAATGATGTCGCTAAAAGTCATCTGCACATGCAAGAACGTTTAGGTCACCTCGTGGAGTAGATCCTGTAACGCATTTTGGCAAAATAAGACGCCAGGTAGGACGGTCACGCATGATTGATTCCATCCTAGCGTCGTCGCACAAATCAAAGGCTCCCTATTAACTTTCTGTGACCAATAGTATACTTGTATACTTTGGCCTTGAGTTACTGTCACTGTAAAAAACAGAAAACAACTAAAAGTGTATAAGTTAAGAATGCAGTCAGTTCATTTTGCTTTGTCGTCTTTTACTTTTTATATATTACAGGCAAATTTTCAATGGAGTAGCAATGTACTTAACTTTTTAAAAGTCTGCCATAATCTTGTGAAAATGATTTATTTTAAATATATTTCTTGTTTTATTTTGAGTTTGAAGAACTTTAAATGTAGAAAGCAAACATGATATGTAATATTTTAAAATATTTTATTTTATTATCGCTGTTATGTTCGATTAATTATATTATTATTACATTTATTATGGTTATTATGGATATTGCAGTTATTATATTATTGTATTCTTTATATTTAGTAATTTTTTAAAAGTAGATATTGAGATGAAGCCCAGTAATAGTTTCAGAATTGTTCACAAAGATTCCAAATTTCAAGGCACTTTGTTGTTCAAACTTATTTTGTTGTGTAAGATAAACAAAAAAAATAAATATATGATATACATTTTGAATATTGAAATAGTTATGAGGAAAAGAGGATGGGGATTGGTGTATATTGATAACAAATGTATTAATAGAGAGTTACCATTGGTTGGGAGACGGTAACCACGGTACCAAAGACGTAGCAGAAGTGTATGGACCACTGTAGTCGTAGTCCAGTATGCAAAAACTGATTTGAGTGCAGGGGTAGAAAACCTTGGCACAGACACTGTACAGTACAAGAAGAGAAATATACTGTATCACATCTATATGGATAATGATTTAGTTAAAACATTGTATGATGTGATTCAACCAAGTACTGTGGTAGGTGGTGTTGATATAACAGTAGTGTGTTTTAGATCTGAGATGATGGGTAGTTTGGAGCAGTTTGAATTCATTAAAAGCCATGAGTGCATGTGTAATTAATATATTCGAAATAGAGCCGCATCAAGTTAATTTGTGAAGTCCACTTTGAATCCGTAATTGCAAAAAGTGTTCTGACTAATCAGAAACAAACACAAACATTATACTAATTTTATGTAGTTAGCATTCTACATGCTACATTTCATGTTATACTGTAGATAATTAGCATAATGGGGCTTGCCATGGCAAAACCAGTGCTTACAGACTTTGGTATGAAGCACTATAGAAGTCGAACCACATTACCTTATAAGCTTTAAAATGATAGCAATTCCATTTACTGGAAACAATTGACTATTAACAAAAGTATTACTAAGGTATACAATACTGTCAAATTCTTATGCTAATTACTCATTTTAACAATTAGCGTGACTACACTGGTTTTGGGATGGCAAGCCTCATGTGGTCACGGGTTACAAGTTGTCTTGGATTTAAAATTCACTAGTAATGTTGTAGGGTGTGAGAGACGTGTTGAAGTTGTACAGTTGTTCCAGAATGTATCTAATGTACAGGTTCAGTTTCTTTTCCTATATATGGTATTACCAAAGGATTTTTTTTTTGTTTGTTGGATGTTTTAAGAAAAATATCTCCTGTTTACTTATTTAGTCCTATTATATAAACAAGGTATGAGAACATACTACTGAATATCACAACAGTTATTTGATATAAACTTGTAAATTATGTACAAAAGTTGGGTATAACCCAGCAGATAATTTGATATTTAGTGTAACGCATATTTATAACCGGTTGATGAAACCTTTATAGATTGTCAAGATTTATTGGGTTTTCTCTCAGGCTTGATGGGGCAGCATAGTGGACATGGCTCTTTGGAGCATATTTTAAGAGATGCATTTATGATGCATAATTATATTAATCTTTGAATAATTCATGGATTGATTTGCATATCAGGCTGGATTCTGTACAGTTGATGTTATACATTCAAAAAGAGGGGAAAACACCTAATATTATATAGGTTATAACCACATTGGTATTTTATGAACATTATTTTGGGAGACTGAGACCAGTGTTAGTGGTGGTATATCCAACAATACATTCTCTTTCTAATTTTGAAACAACGTCCAAAATCCAAAATGTATAATAATGTAGGCATTTATCATTCAACCATTTCTATGTTGTCCATTTATAGGCAATATTTTATGGGTCTGTGCCAGGTGCACTGAAATAAGTACATATTAAAATGATACAGTTGAAAAAAGAGGGAGAAGTTTCAAATAGCAGTATACAATAAGCCGTGAGAGGTTAAATAAGGGTATTCAAATTAAGTATTAACAATTTTAATTTTATTTTGACAGATAGACTTCATTGACCATGAAAATGTAAAGCACACATATAAAAAAAATGAAAAAATTCTACAAAAAAAAAAAAGAAAGAAAAAAGTGAAAATTTATAAGATAAAAATGTTGGACATGTAGCAGGCATTTTAAAAAGGCAGAGCATTCAGAATATCAGTACAAATGCTTTTGCTTATTAAAATGAGAAAAATGTGAACTTGTTCTCTCCTTTGAACTATACAATGATAACTAGACATTAAATGACTGTTAATATATTGGTGAATTTTAACTACTGTAACGAAGAGGAACTAATGGTTTCTGAACGATTTAAAATGCATTGTATATTTTGCCAGTGTATTAGATTGCTCTTGTGAATAACATAACATCAAGTCTGGATGGAATTTAATGTTCTTTTTTTAGCATTGATGCTTGTATATAAACACAGTTGATGCGTGTCTGAGTATTAGTTAACTGACCTGACAACATGAATATGTTGTTTATAACATCATTATACATTGTTCTTTATTTCATTATGTTGAATTTTTGTTGCAAACAGTTTATGGGCAAATACTGAAGAATCATTGTGTATGTACAAAAAGACAAATTTCGAATAAAGTTCTCTTTTTCTCACAAATGCTTTGTAAAGGGATTTTTATTCATAGTATGCTATTTCATGCATCTCTTCTCGCATATAAATTGATAAAATGGAATACAATGCACCCTCTAATTTGAGGCCACATTTTTTAAAAGAGTCGACAACAATCTTCAAACTATTAACACTATAGCTAACCCCTTTATGTGGAGACAAACCCCAAATTTTCAGGTTCAAAAGGTAGTCTCGAATTGGAGGGTGAACTGTAGTCACATAAGCCAGCTTGGTTGTAATGTATACTTGCGTAAATTGTCTTGAAGGCATATCTGTATCGTATCATATCTGTATCATATCATCTGTACATATATAAATAACCATAAATGACAACTGATACACCAAGGAAGCACTGAATATAAATTGCTGCCCCAGTAATTAGCTAACAAGGGGCAGACTATCGAGTGGCTGAGCGGTAAGGCAGAAGCGCCCCTACCTACGTAAAATCGGCGCAGTTTCCAGCCGCTCCTCGCCCATTGTTCGGTTGGTAGAACCTAGTCTACTCGGATAAGGACTTAAAATGGAGGTCCATTGTATACATCTGGCTCGTGTGCACTTTAAAAAAACACATTGCATCTTTCGGAAGAGTAGGGTTACCTCGAGGTTATGGTTCATTTCAGCCCCTGTCGTGGAATGATGTGAACCATGAAGCGCCTATTTACGGCTGGTAGGTAGTCACGGACCACGCCCATACACAATTCAACACAATTCAACACAATTCAGCACAATGATGCAAGTTATGGGTTACTCTCCTATCTTTACCTTTACCAGAGTCTCAGTCTGCGTCCCCGAATAAAAAATCTCCGGTAGGGTTCATGGGAAGTTTTCATGGCTCAGTATGGTCCAAATTGTGCTTTTTTAGATCACAAATTTAGGGATTGGCCATTAATAATGTTTAGACCAGTGCCCTAAACCATTCTTTACCAAAGTGGGCAGAGCACCAAGAGCCAAATTTCGCATTCTCTGTAATATCACAATTTAATCATAGCTTCGTCCTAAATATCAATATTTTGCATATTCGTCAAATTTCACAATCTCTGTAATATCACAATTTAATCATAGCTTCATCCTAAATATCAATATTTTTAAATGTCTTTGCAGCTTTGAAATTTATACGTTTAAGTATGGTTATAAGTTGCGATCCTGGACCAACTTCCACGGTCATTGGAAAGCTGTCGGTTGATTTGCGTTGATAGATCTCATGCATACTCTGTTCCCATTTGACTGGCTTAACCACCTGACTTTTCAACTGTTTACGAATGTGCTTAGCGTGTCTATATATTTTTCCGTCGACATTGGAATGGACGGATATTGCTGGTACCTCAAAATTCACTTCAGCTAGTGCTTCAGCAATTGATTCCTGTGCTGGCTTCATAAGGTCTGTGTGGAAGGCACCACTTACTGGTATTTTCTTTGCACTCCGGAAGGAGAATTTCTTTAAATTTTTCTGCAGGAAGTTTAGTGCCTTTTGAAAAAAACAAATAAAAATACATGATTATAGGCAATCTTTTTTTTTTAGAGCCCACTGAATTATCAATTTTTTTGGGCAATCCTGCTCATTTTTATAATTCTCATAGTTTTGTTTATGTCAATCTCAATTGTTACATATACTGTATTCTGCTACTATTATTCATTTCGCCCTCCAATTCGAGACCACTTTGGGACCTGAGACCACTTTGGGACCTGAAAATTTGGGGTGGTGTCAGGGTTCAGTCTTCATTTAGAGGGTTAGCTTTGTGTTAAAATATTGACGACTGTTAATTGGTTCTTTAAAAAAGTGTTCTCGAATTGGAGGGGTCTTGGAATTAGAGGGGCGTCGTATTAATAATAATAATAATAATAATAATATTTAGGTTTTATATATAGATCTCTACACAACTAAGTCTCAGAGAGCTTTTCCACATTATTACCCCAGTCTTTGGAATGCCTATTGAGGGAATTCCGAATTCAGCGCATTTTGCACTCAACCTCCTTATGTACCTGCTCATACTCCTGGGTGGAGAGAAGCAATGTAGATAAAGTGCCTTGCTCAAGGACATAAGCGCAATGCACAGCGAGGGATTGAAACCTCGACCTTGAGGTTCGGAAACCAAACCGTTCCCGCTGTGCCAAACGGAGGGTGGACTGTAGTACAGTATATATATATATAGTGATACAAAAATAAATATTCCTATATATATAATAAGTAAATCTTTGCTGAGCCACGGGGCTCATTGGGCTGGAGTTCATCTCCAATTTCAGGTAGCGTGAAGCAGATGAGAGTGTGATGCTCCCCCAGGTTTAGGATCCTAGTCCACCGCAGGTAACTCCCAGCAATTTGCTGGTACCCATTGATACAACTGGGTAGATTGAAGCAATGTTGATAAAAATGCACAAGCTATATATTTATGATATAAGTGTTATATATACACTTATACATTTATACATTTGTATTTGTGAATGAACATAGGCATATAGATATTAACTAGAGATATAGGGAAAAAAAAACACCAATATTTGTACCTGTATATTTTAAGCCTATAACAGAGCTAAATAAATTACATTAAATATGTAACACAGTATGTATACACTGTTATTGCTAAACTATTATTATGTTATCATTCTTTTGATTGCAATTTGAAATGCTTATCAGCAGCATCATCAGTAAATGTCAACGATGGCCATGTGTTTTTTTTTTAGAAGAAAACAGCTAATGGATCAGTAACAGTAACAATACCATTAACATACGAAATGCTTCTAATTCAGGTCAGACCATACAAACAATTCTGGCTAAAAGGAATTGGATTGATTGAACGATGTTACAGTAGCACTAGAGGGAGCAGAGCCAGTCTAATAATGATTGGACCATGGTAGTAAAAAACAGAAGTTTCATATTTGATTGGATGTTTAAAAAAAAAAAAAAAATTAAATTGGTGCTGGTTTTCTTGGCACTCTTTTTTCTAGTTATTCTAATTTTTTTTGTTTACGAATCAGAAATTTTATGGAATAAAGTACAAAAATTAGTAAGAGTTGTTCATTAAAACCAGCTAAAATTCATCAGGTTTTCATAGCCTTGCCTTCTGGACATTACCAAGAATTCTTAGCATCAAGCGGACAGGCTCTCTAAACTTGCATAGACCCACATTACCCCAATGCATTTAGCCCCTTTCTTGGACAAATCCTGTGCCAGAACTTCGATTGAATTTTTACTAATGACATACAAAAAAAGTCAGAAATATATTTTTCAAAAAGCGTTGTCTTTTTTTAAAAGTAATTTATGACCATTTAAATAGATTATTTCAGTTTCAGTGCTTCCATGTTGGTTTAGAGAGTGATGCTCACTAAGTCTGGCTCATGTAATATAACTGTTATCTGGTTCTTAAACTAGTTGCAGTTTAACTGGTTTCATTATTTCCTTTTTGTCATATTTTGACTTCTTGTGGAGACGTGTCATAAGCATTTTCCTGTAAACGGATACTAGCACTTTATAAATTTTTATTATTATTATTATTGTTATTAATTAGAGACAAGTAGGGGGTTACCCCAGTGTACTGGTCCATATAGCCCATGTTGTGGACAGATGAGAGCAGCTGGTGCCAGTTTACCGGCCAGCTCAAACGCGAATAGACCCTTAGGGTGAAGAAAGTTATTGTATGAGCTACGTAGTCCACGCTTTGAGTGCTCTGATCTTCATGAAATAGCACTTTATAAATGATGTTATGTATGTATGTATAGGATTTTAATTGTTTACACGACAAGATTTTCCGAGCAGCTTAGCTCAGTCGGCTAAACTGGTGGTAGCCACTGTTTGTGCGCTGAACCGTGGAGATCTCTAGCTAAAATGCAATTTACGATAGCGCACCATCTTTCCGATGAAACGTTTAAACCGTTGATCCCGCCGTGTGCATTATGGCCTGTGTACAAAGAGTGCAGAACATTATTCGGAAAAGAGTAGGGGATTGTCTCCCAGTGTACTGCCCAATCACCACCAGAAGGACCCCACAGGAAATAAGTCTTCTTCAGACTTTCGTTGGTTATAGTTGGTGTTTACACTAAATAAATCCATCCATTTCTTTGAGGTTTACAAAAGCTGAATAGGATTTTAATTGTTTACACAATGAAAAGATGTTCTGTTTCCTTCTAACAAAAACATTGCTCATCTATTCTTACCGTTGTGTGACCAGCAATTACACGTGCCCCTGGGAACATATAGTTAGCGATGGCGCAGACGGGATCAACTATACCCTCTTCATTCCTGCAGTACTCCACTGCCTCTCGGCAAGCTGCTTTATAATTTGTCTGTTCACGGGAAATAACTGACAGCATCCCACTGTCAACTTGGTCAGATGCCAGCTGCATTGCTTCAGCACGAACCTTGATCAAGTAGACAGCTGTAGATAGAAGACAAAATATTTAGGTTAGAACTAATTAAAAATATCCAAATGGTATAAATGAAACAGTAATTGAAATCTTATAATTTCATAATTTATAATGATTTATAACAAGACACTGAATTAAATTAAATGTACTCAATTTAATATGTTTCACTGGATCAGCCTGCACTGGATAGGAGTTTTTTTTATGTGAAACATTCCAATGATAACCTAACAGTACAATAGTCCAAATACTTGAATCCAATTTGGTCCTACTGGTAGTGAACTGGGCAGTACAACCTCTGCTCTTTTTTTTATAATTTCTTTTATTATTAGCAGTACCCGATTATTTATTCAAATACCCTTTGAATGTACAGTATTAGAATACAGTATTTATTTGTACAACATATCAAATTTGTTTTTTCCCTTGGAGTCTGGCTTTCTGGAACACAAGAGAGGCATAGGAAGACGGTCCCAAGTTGTAAGAAGCCACTTCTGGAAGATTTGTTTAAATGTGCTTTCTTAAACACATCTAATTTATTTTGCTGTACATCATGATACCCATCACCAGCTGACTTCCAGATGACAATTTATAATACAGTTAGTTAAAAGATGCATTTGTTTTCCTGTGAGAGAGAGGGAAACTCTCAATTTCCGGGGGAATCTCGTGACTTCTATCTTTTTTTTGAGTCCCGAAAATGAATGAATACGGAGTATATAATACTACTTAAGCACTATTATCATCTAATAATACCTGCCAACTTCTTTTAAGGACACTTAACGGCTGGAAGAATTCCAACTGCCAAGACTATTCAACAGTTGAAAGTGTCTATGAGAGGTACTGGATCAATAAAAATGGCCTAGCCCATTGTTCTATATTAAAGCATTAAGAGCAAATAGTGATAAAGTCTTCCAACTTTCAATGGTTTAAAGCTGAGGTACAAACCTTCTTCAAATGTAAGGGCTCCAGAAAATACGAGAGCAGTGAATTCACCAACGCTAAACCCAGCTGTTGCAACACAGTTTTCAACAATCTGAAATAATAAAAAATTATTATCTGAATTGAAAATATGTTAAAAAAGTTAAATAAACATCATATACCTGTCAACTTCTTTGGCATCTGATGCTTGAGACAAAAAACAAAAAATATATATAGTGCCTCTATGTAAAAATCAAGAATAGAGCACCCTCTGTTATTTTTTTTTTAATTGTCGTGGTGGAACTGCTACTGATTACAGTTGTCTGTTGGTATACAGTAGCTATGTTAAAAAAAAAAAAAAATTGTATATCCTGTATTCACATTTGATAAATTCCCTTAATTTTGATACATTTTCGGGTATAATCGGTCCCTGATAAAATTGTTATGATGCACGAGATAATACAATATAGGCGCGGGAAGTAAAAAGTGGATCCTCATGTGTGAGACTCGTGCATTATGTGTGAGAGTTGGCAGGTGTAATATCACACTCTAGGTACATCAACAGCTTGTCAAGCTTTGGCAACTTCACTTTATGACTTCAAATAGGATATGTTTCCTCAAACTTACATCCTCATCCATTTTACTGAAGTCATCAACAACTTGATATTGATTTTCTTCTTTAATGTTATTAAAACCCACTTAGAGATAATGCTACCCACCTCTGGACTTTCCACTTTCAGCTTCTCTACAGCTGCAAGTGATGTGATAACAACAGCAGGCTGACAGTGAACAGTTTGGTTCAACTTATCCTGAGGCCCATTCAAGCATAGCGACAGAAGGTCATACCCTAGAATATCAGAAGCGATATCAAACATATCCTTCACATTAGGGTATGACAGTAAAGCTTTCCCCATTCCTACTGTTTGTGTTCCTTGCCCAGGGAACAGAAATACTGTCATATTTTTTGGGTCAATATAAGTACGTTTTTTAGCAATTGCAATTTCGTCCTCTGCTGATCCCTCAAAATCAAATTCATCATTTAACCTTTGCGACTGAGCTTCCTCCAGGAGATGTTTAACTCTCAGTCCTCCCTGAAGTTGTTCATATGCATAAGCTTCATCATCACTCGAATACTCATCACTACTTGATGGACATTCATCATTGCTGGTTCCTTTCTCTTCTGTTGAGGTATTGTAGTCTTGTGGTGACTGTATTTTTTGTTTTCTTGGTTTATCTGGATCATCATTGCCATCAGTTGAATATAACCTGCCAACAGGTTTTAAAAATCCCAATGTTTTACCATTTTGGTTTATACCCTGTATTTGATTTGACTCACAAGTGTTTATAGTATGGAGTTGCCTGTTTATATATTTGCTACTTGCATGATGATTGATTCTAAATGTTAGGTGCCTGCTGTATTTCTGCAAGTGTTGGTCTACACACTTCCTAGGCAATAATCTGAGAAATTCCATCCTTGGATCTAAAAAAAAAAAACAAGATGATGTACAATTTCAGCGTAAATTTTAGTTTTTGACATATCCCCCTTTGACCAAGTTTTTTTGCAATTTATTTTTTCCTGCTATTTCCCCAATTATTTCAATTGTAACAGAAATTATGAAATTTTAAAAATTTAATGAAAATAAACATCTAAAAATGCAGAAATCCCCTTGCAGGTGGAAAATGCTACAACAAGCAGCTCTCTGAGATGGGTACAAATGCCATAAGACAACAATACTGCAGGTACACTATTGAAATTAGTAGGTGGTCAATAAGACAACATCCTAAATTATCTTTATGATTTATTGTCATCTTTTAATTTATTGCTTCTTTTTACAATAAAATTAAAGTAATTAACCCAGAAACTTAAAAACCTAGTAAACCTAGTAAAATTACATATTAAGAATAGGCTTATCATATTTCTGTTTCAATTACATGCCTCAATAAAGGAAATTTTAAGTTAATTATTATGCAAATCTTCTGTCACTCTTGCAGACAAGCGCACAGATCTGTTTTGAAAGGTGGTGGGTGGGGGGGGGGAGAATTCTGTGAGACCATTTGAAAATTTGAGGAAATAGTACTCTTTAGATGACCGGAATTGACACTCTTATATAGCTGTCTCTTATACACATCTAGATGTGTATAAGAGACAGCGCTAAACCCAGCTGTTGCAACACAGTTTTCAACAATCTGAAATAATAAAAAATTATTATCTGAATTGAAAATATGTTAAAAAAGTTAAATAAACATCATATACCTGTCAACTTCTTTGGCATCTGATGCTTGAGACAAAAAACAAAAAATATATATAGTGCCTCTATGTAAAAATCAAGAATAGAGCACCCTCTGTTATTTTTTTTTTAATTGTCGTGGTGGAACTGCTACTGATTACAGTTGTCTGTTGGTATACAGTAGCTATGTTAAAAAAAAAAAGAAAATTGTATAAATGAATAATGGATTACTTAGACTATTCTGAGTATGCGGACTTGATAGAGTTGTTTGTTGAAACTCTGACTGGAACAGTTTTTGAGTTAAGAGTTTCACCGTTCGAAACTGTTATTTCAGTAAAAGCCAAAATACAACGGCTTGAAGGTTTGTTATTTTCAAATTTTTTGCAACTTTTCTCATTTTAATTTATATAGTAATGTGTGCATGTTCCTGTATTTGCAATTTCATAATTTCTGTAGCATTGCTGTTTGAGCTATCCTCTCAAAATATTGTTGAATAAATAAATAAAAAAATCACCCATGTTGCAAAATCGACTCTGGTTATAACAGGGACAGATGAGCATGTTTTTCATCTCCCTGGTTATAACTTTGGCTTTCAAATATTTCTAAAGGGCCGTGAAATCAATCAAACCAATGCATCTGTTAAATCTTTAGGTCTCAAGTCACTCACCCCAAATGGCAATAAATCTTGCTTAGGCTACCTAGGCTAGGCTAGGCTAACTAGGCCTAGACAAGACCTAGGGCCTGGGCTAGCCTAGCCTACCTATAGCATTGAAATACTTATTATTAAAAGTTGAACATTTTAAAAATATCATTATAAGGTAGTACATTAAATAAAATGTTCTAACTACCTAAATTAACCAGATTGAATTATCAAACGATCTTCTATTGAGAGAAAGATAACATGCCATCCTGTAGTGCTTGGTGAATGACTTGGGGATCATCTTAATAATTAAATACTCACGCATGTGGAGAGCTGAAAGCTAGCTAGAGTGTACTCTCTGGGCTGCGGTACCTCCTGTGCAGGGATTGTCTCGAAAGTTCCGATTTTTAAAATTTTTTTTTTTTTTTAATAGAAAATGTTTTTCTTGCTAATTTTTCTCCACTAGACAACCGGGCAACATACATGAGGAGTAAATAGGCTAGCCCAGAGTGGTTTTTACTAGACATTGTACGCCGGGCTAGTACTAAATCGAGCCCTGATAATCTGTGTGATGTACCATTGAAAATAAAACTTTAAAACATTGTCTCTGATGTGTTTACTTTACCTACTTAAAGCTGTGAGTCCACACCCATCTCAATCCCACAACAGTTGGGGCTGAGGCCCAAAAATTTGGGTAAATTGTGCCTCTAGCATGACACTCATATAGTAAAATTCATCACCATCACATCACCGCTATAGTCAAAATAAAGTGCCAACAAATTTCTCATGATTTTTTATTAGGGATTTTCACCAATCATAGAGATCTAATCCCCCTGTGATGTAACATAGAAAATAAAACTTGTCTCTGATCTATTGACTTTACCTATTTCATGTGCAGCAAACCAATCTCTTAACACGCTTTTTTCCCTCATACTTCTCAAATTATAATAAAGGCGTGCACAGGTTATTTTATATTTGTGGGCAGAGATACTGGTATCTTGCTAATATAAGAAGATGAATTCTGGCTGTGGGCTCTTCGTTAAAACCTGGGTCAATGAAGTCCTTTTCAACAATTTTCAGGAATCTTTTTGACGTATGAAGGCACACTGCTGCCAAAAAGTGGGGAACCAACATCCCCCTCCTTTAAAAATGTGGAGGGACGTGTCCCCCGTCCACGGTCCCCTTTCCCCCTCCATGATCTGCGTCCATGCTTGCAGAGGGCACTGACTATATGATATACATAAATAGCCGACGCGCTGGTGGTGTAAACCTTAATACAGGCGAGGCTATCCAAACCAGCACCTATGCCAGAAATGAAAACGAAAACTTGCCCGCCTCCCTTATTTGCCCGTAACCAAACGGCCTAACATGGTAGTGGTAAGCCAGTAGTAGAGTCACAGCCCAGTACTGCTGTAATTCGCCGTATCATCGCCTAAAAGTTAGCAGTTTGGCATGTCAAACTAGCCTAGAGTAGAGAGAGGCATGGTCTCTAGCTATGCTAGGCAGACTATTTTATTGATATTTTGTAGTAATATTTAAAAGTAATATTAACAATAATATTTCAAACTCAAAACCAGCTTTTCCTGTATATTTACCTGCCTGAAAATCGTTGGCAAATGTACATTTATCAGAGACGAATAATTGTAACCTGAAGATAAGCCACGTTCAGCTGCACATGTTATCTTATTTTGTTATGTTGTTGTAGGGCGCCCTCATTAATGCTGTTTTGTTGACATGATCTGTTTCTCTTCATCTCAGCCTTTAGCTGGCTAGCCGCGCTGAGCATCAAGCATCCCCCGCGATGGTTGAAGAAGAAACGGACGAGTAAGTACTGTCATTCTCATCACTCTCGGAGGCAGAACAACAACAGCTATGGCTGCTGCTGGAGTTGCAAAGTCGGGTCTCCTTGAGGTCCTAGCCAGAGAGCAATGGTGCAGGGTGTTAGCCACTTTGGAGGAGGAGGTTTTAACGATTAGTCTTGAAGATTCTTTGGACTCGAATGGGGTAACCAACGGGGGCCAGGACCATCAAAATTCTAGCCGACACGACTCTCTCAGGCGGTCGGAATATATTTCAGTACAGGATCCGATCCCTGACGCGATAGCTAATCAAAAACGCATCGTTAAAGTAGTGAAGCAAGAAGTAGGTGGCCTAGGAATTAGTATAAAAGGAGGCAAAGAAAACAAAATGCCAATTATCATCAGTAAAATTTTCAAAGGTCTGGCTGCAGACCAAACTGAGAGTCTGTATGTGGGGGATGCTATATTGGCTGTGAATGGTGAAGATTTGAGAGATGCTACTCATGATGAAGCTGTGCGAGCATTGAAAAAAGCTGGAAAAGAAGTAATCTTGGAAGGTAAGAATGTGCCAAAATCAAAGGTTTAAACTTGCTAAAACACAATTTAATATGTCAAAAAAATCTTTTTTCATCAATGTTAACAACAACTAACCAGGCACCTAACTCTGTTGAAAATTGTGTTTTATATTAATTAGAATATTTATAAAAGAAAAAAAAATCAAACAATTAATACTAAGGCGTCTAGGCCTAGGCCTAGGCTAATTTATTATTAATATAAAAATGAGTCCGGTTTATCATGAGCTGTCTTGTTTGTTAATTTACGTCATATGTAATTAGATTCAGGATATCAGTGTTGTAAACATTTCATTGATGATCATAAGCCAGCCAAGGAGGTCAGCTTGTGATGTCCAGGGCCCTCTTTATGTGCATACTCTTGGTATGCATCCTCAGGATGACCCCTTTTGAACACAAACAAAATGGGGGCCACTTTTTGGAGGTTGGGTTAGGCCACTACCTGAGGAATCCCATTTTTAATTAAATGTCATTTTTACTGCATGGTATGCCTAATTCAATGCCAATATTTTTTATGGTTTTTTGTGAGAATATTTGTAAAAAAAATTGGCTTTTATGAGTGACATAAAACTGGGTATAAAGTACTGTCTGTAGACTGTAGGTAGTAGCTTGTACCCAAGGTGGGATTATACCCAAGGAACTACGGTATTATTAGCCTTGATGAGCTCTCCAAACATTCATTTTTTAATAGAAAAGCAATTTTAAGTTCTCAGCTTAGTTGTAAAAAGAAGGAATGAGTGGATCAGGGAAGAGTAAGAAAGTGGTACAGGCTGACTATGTATGTGGTTGGCTGGGAGGAAATTATGAATGCTGTATAATATACTAATATACTGTCATCTCATAGTACAATGCTAATGAGTTGCGCTGCACTAGTCAGATACTACTAGATCAGTGTAGCCTTGGCAATAATAGAAAGAATTGAAAGGTGAATATACCCAAGCAAGATAATTAATACAAAAAGTATATTAATTTACATTATCAGTGATAACAAAATAATGAGCAGTAGACATGAAGGTTGAAGAATAGGCTATAGTCCAGTAGTCAGTAGAAATGAAAGAATTATTTAAAGCTAGTAATTAGCAGGCAAGACTATAATAATCTTAATTTGTGGTTGGGGACTAACAATCAGAGATCCAGAAAAAATGTCAGATTCCAAAAATAAATTAGCCCTAGATGCATAATATCATGGAGGAATTACCGTAGTTTAGACTAATTCCTCCATGCTTGAATCAACTTTCTGAGCTCTCAGATACATAGTATAGGCTGGAGTATTTGTGTTGCAAAGTCCATTCCATTCTGTGTTTTTTTCTGTAAGTTTTAATAAAGAAAGTGGGTCTTTTGTGGCATTACCTTCTTTTCACCTTCGATCGTTGAACTTGACAAAGAACAACACTGTTTCATTCATTGGGAAATTAAGTATTTTTTGTAAAGGATTTGTGACTTAATTGGTTCTCACTGTAATGGTTATTATACAGGTAATTGCTTAGTTTATTATGTGTTTAGTATCCCGATGATGTGTTGTGAATTTCACTAGGATGCATTGTACCATTCCAAGACTGGGGTTTTCTGGTTTAAAAACTTACAACCTGGTTTTACAAAATATTACTTCAAATAATAATATCCTACTCTCTATGCTGCTAACAAATGAATCTGTTCCTCAAGTGGCATCTAACAACACTGGGTCTATGCTTTTACGACAAAGAATTTGCCAGTATCGAGCTGAGATATAACAGTTTCTTGGCTTGGAATGTTTAGCAAAGATTATAAATTGGAGTGTATAGTACGGTAGTATTTCCTTTGTAATGAATAAGGCCTAACTATATTAGGCCTAACGTAAATATTTTCCAATAATTCAGCTTTACAAAGAACCTCAAAGGAATTTTTTAGGGTAACATATTGTAAGGATTATTTAACTATTGAAGTACAAATAATTCTACTTTACAATAACATAAACAAGTATTACTTCTTATTCTTTATTTATTGGTGAATATTGTCAGTATTTGAGAAGGCCATTCAGATTGTTGGTGACACTATAAAATGAGAATTTTTAATATTTTTTTTTCAATAAGAAAATTCAAACAGTATACTCAGAATGCACAAGTGTTGTGTTTGCCTAGTGTACTTTTTCTTGCGGTGGTGTAGCGAATATTTGCATATAATCAAGTTGCTATTATTAATTGACTGTAGAACAGTCGTAGCAGGGTCATCAACGAGCAGGTTAACAGCATGAACCCCCATTTATACTTTTGGGTGAGGAGAGGCAGATGTACAGTACAGTATTAAGTAAAGTGCCTTGCCCAAGGATGCAAACAGTGAGACGAGCGTCGGTCTCGAAATCTCATGATAAAAAGTCCAACACCTTAAACACTCCACCAATTACTTCTACTCTAGTGTACTGTATCTCATTAAATATTCTATTTTTGGAGGAACCTAAAAAAAAAAGTGATGCAGAATTGTATGTCAGAGAGATATGTTTGAAACTTGCATTGCACTTGGAAGCTACTGTATAGCTGATTACACTCCTTTATACAGTATAGCAGTGTATGGTAGGATCCTACCTCCAGTCTGATTTGCCATTACCTCAAAGCTAAATCAACATCATCAAAATTTTTCTTACAAATGAGCCCCATGAGAATATAGATTCATTGCAAATATGTATGCGTTGTTACTTTCTCTACTGTGTGATAAAATGCAAGAACACTGTGACGTGTTTGAGACAAACTGCCTACATTAGGGTCTTTGCTTATGAAATCATGTCACCACAAGAGGAGGCAATATTTCCATCATATAAATCCTGCTTACAAAATTATAAACCAATATATAATAATATAAAATATTTTTCATATACACTGAAAAATCTATCATTACACTGAAAAATATTTCTAGCATAAAGGATTTTCCTATGTAATTTAAACTTTATTTATACAATTTTAATTGGAAGGTGGTATTTTTCTGGTATTCGTATGACCACCAGGGCTGAAAATATTTTCATTATTTTTACAATTACTTATGCAGTTAGATAAAATAAACATTCAAGGTGGTATATTACATAAATATGACAAATTTACTTAATAAATATTTTTTTTAAAATTAGACACCATGTTTGTATTGCAAAAAATATGGAATTGCATTTGTGATTTGTTTATACAGATGCAAACAAGCAAGTTTTTTTTTAAAATTGGAAGGATTTGATATTAAGGTTTGTTTCACCAGCCATCCATGATACACTATCATTTTTTTTAAATGTTTTGAAATATAGGCATACTGTACGTTTATCATGAAGAAAGTATAATAATGGATTATGATTTTAAAGGCCTACAGTTAGTCAACGTAAAATGTTCTGCAAAGTTGTGATTAAATAAAATGAGCATAGAAACTTGTAATTCATTCTTTGAGGGTTTTCCTCAAGTCAAGTCCCAGAGGGGGAAAAAATTGTGTTGTACAAACTGAATTTTCAAAGATACTGAAGCCATTCTATTCAGGCAAACCATTTTATAGTCTATATATTTGCTCGATAATTCCCACTGGAAATAAGTCTTTGGAAATTTTGTGGGCTATACTTGGTGTGTTTTACACTATAGGAATCCAATCCCATTCAAAAGCTTGTTTGATGGTGGTGTTCTTTTTGTAGCTATAAAAACAATCTGTTATCACAAAATTTAACTTGTTTACTTTAGGAAAATACAGTGTCAATTGAAGGTCAATGGGAATAAAACCTGGTTGGATAAAACTTACCTAAATATTATTAGCTTAATGATAACCTTTACCAAATTTATTTCATAATTCATTTACTGAGTGTTACATAAATAATAATAATAATAATAATAATAATAATAATAATAATAATAATAATAATTCCCAGGAAAACACCAAAGGTTTTACAATTTTTCAAAAAATTGACATCGGCTTCTGTTTTAATTGTTTTTTTTGTAAGCTTCTCCAGTTGTCTGCATTCCAGCTTCAACACTGTAGTATTTTGTTGGAAGTCCTCTATAATGTTGCCAAACCTACGAACAGAAAGAAGGAGTAAAATAAACTGTAACTTGATAAGAATTGATTTATACATTGTTGTATTTAGGCCTGTAGCTAACTGCAAACATGTTTTGTTGTTATACTAACAACATCATCAGTGCATATCAATTGCGTGTTCGGTGAAACCTAGCTTAAGATTTTTTGAAATAATAATAATAATAATAATAATAATAATAATAAATAATAGTAATAATTTTAGTATACAGCATTCAATCTTCACTCAATAAAATTTGAGATTAGGAATTATATTTTGAATTTGATAATTTTAGTTCTTTCTGAAAACGACCTGTCAAATCCTACAATATTGAAGTATAAAATCAATATTTTTTCCCTGAAACCCACTGAGACTGGTTACAGTATTTCACATGAATAAGTATGGCTAATGAAGTGTAAAATAAAGATGGAAATTTGCTAATTGATTATTGCCTAACTGTGCTAACAAAACCTGTAAGAACAATAGTTTGCACAGACTATGTTCAATTAGAGACTGTAGAATTATGTTACGTTTTTGTGTGTAGATGGTGATGTGGAGCGATAATGGCTTCAGAACTGACCATGAGTAAGAAGAGTTCATTGAAACTGCTCAGTATTAATGACTTTAGGCACTTACACTTATGCCTTGCGGCATTATTTATCATGTAATATTGTGTGAATAATGTGTGAACTGCAATTATTATAGTGCTTGTAACCATAGTATTTAATGTTGTTAAAATAAAATGTCAAGGAAAATTCTACTGTGTTATAATGTGAATTGCTGTAGAAATTAAATTGGAAAGAAAGTCTTGTAGGATGTATACCATCTTATAAAATTGTTCCATTTTTGAACATTCTGAAATATGAGTGTATATATATCAGTATATTAGTAGGGTCATTCTTTTTGAAGAAAAGTGATTTAGTAGCCCCCCTTGATCAAAGTGCTAAAAGTAATGTAACTTGAAGCAGGCTGCTTCATAGTGTTATTACTTTTAACATTTCTTTTATTCAAAGAAATTCAGAATTTAATAAAAATTAAAGGTGACAT